TAACTGAGTTCTGGGTGGAGGGGCAGCATGGCAGAATGATGTGGAATCATTTCCACACTGAAGGTCCACGCACAACGAACCATGTTGAAGGATGGCATTCCAAGATAACATCCATTATTGCCTCCCCTCACCCAAATATTTTTAAGTTGGTGGCTTTTTTTAAGAATGAACAAGCTTACTCCGAAGTAACCATTCTCCAGTTAGGTGCCAACGGAAAATTACGGCCTAAGAGAAGAAAGTACAGGCAACTAGAAACCCGACTCCAAACTCTGAAAACAGATCTTCAGAACGGTATAAAGACTGTATTCGAGTATGCCGATGGCGTAGCCCGTTTAACTACATTGTAAATTTTCATTGTTTATCTTGTTTTTGTGTGATGTATGATATACCCATGTATGTTATACTTTTATTACATATTTTATATATAAAACATCGAAAATTGTTATATTTTCATTAAATTATAAAGTGCTAATGTGATGTATGATATATCCATGTATGTTATATTTTTATTACATATTTTATATATAAAACATCGAAAATTGTTATATTTTCATTAAATTATAAAGTGCTAATGTGATGTATGATATATCCATGTATGTTATATTTTTATTACATATTTTATATATAAAACATCGAAAATTGTTATATTTTCATTAAATTATAAAGTGCTAATGTGATGTATGATATATCCATGTATGTTATATTTTTATTAAATATTTTATATATAAAACATCGAAAATTGTTATATTTTCATTAAATTATAAAGTGCTAATGTGGTGTATGATATATCCATGTATGTTATATTTTTATTAAATATATATAAAACATCGAAAAATAAAAAGAAAATTACATAAAATATTTGGGTTTTTTTTCCATCTAATTACCTATAACACCTAATCCTAATCCGCTTAATCCACTAATCCTAATTAGACCTTAATTGGATTAATCAAAAGTGGGCACAGTGAGGACACACCTGTAATGGGTTGCACAAACTTGATACTCGGAGTGTCTATATGATATAAAATTTAGGCTTAACACGTATCGACACCTTTTGTCTTGAGCTAAGATGTGTGACTCTTAATTATTAATTTTCATTGTTCTGATTACTAATGCTATTAACTATGGCGTGCCCTTGCTGACGCGACAGATATTGCTCCACAATTATAAAAAGCCTAGTTGAGAATTAGTAGGACAGAGACCTAGAGAGACCTAGAGTGACCTAGAGGTCTTCCGGACCTCGGGAGAGGGCCTGCCCTCGGACCCCAGGAAGGTAAGGTCTACTGAGACTCAGGGGGAACAGCTTTATATTGACGTTGTCATATTTAACCCACAATGACGTTCATATGTAGAATTGTACATGTAAATATGTTATCCAGTATTAAAATATCTTTTTAATAAATAAGAGTTATGTATTCTATCACACACGGTTATAAAACATTTCATAAACAAGGTAGAATTTTATAGATATTTTGACAATGCAAAAGACATAAACAATATTTTTACCAAATTATCAGTGTTTTTATATATAAACCTTTCACTCATTCAATTTGAGTACGTGAGATTTGACTTCTCTACAATATGTGAATCCAATAATTAGTTAAAGATACAATTATGGTAATAGAGACCACAGTATTACAGTAAGAGGAGTCGAACAATGATGATATAATGTAAGCAAGCGCCGTAGGCTCGTAAACATTTCAGATATAACTGAGCTTTTAATTTTTTAGAACTGGGCCTGAAAATTTTAGCCAATTTCCTGGCATGGAGTAAATTCTTGTGAACGAGGGGATCAGAATGGGGACAGAATCTTGGAACCTGCCTGTCAATTCTGTCTGTTTTGTGGGAGTTGACAGAACATTTATGCAGTCTGTCGACCCACGCACTAGTTATCAGAATTCAAGGTAAAAAAAACATTGACCTTCAATGACTAATAGCATACTACAGTAATATCATATAGGATGCGTCCGATTATGGTGGTTCTAATTAAAAGTAGGTTTTTTTTATGAAACCTATATTGTCATTTGGATAATGAGACGCAAGAAAAAAACATGAACTCACAGGGACTAATCGGAATCCAGCCATCCGGAGTATTGAATTCTGTAATCGCATATACAGGATGAGTCAAATTATCGTGGCTCTAATTAAAAGAAGTATTTTTTATGAAATCTATATCGTTATTCGGATCATGATACGCTAAATATTTTCCTTTCAAGAACCTCTGAATGCAAATAAGACTGAAAGTCAGAGTACTTGAACATAACCTCACCAGCTCCCTGTGTGGTTTAATGGTCGAGAGCGAGACATTAAGTAATTGAAATGAAATGAAATGGGGTTTAACGTCCTACTGTTCTGCTCCTATACTGGGCTAATGAAGACGGGCATACCCCATACTGTGTGCTATGAGGGAAATTTTGCCCGGGCAGCGGCACTATCGCCTACTCTTATATCGAATTCCAACTGCCAAGGGATCTTTTACGTGCATTCCAATGTTTACACGGGACCTCGGTTTTTCGTGTCATCCGAAGGACTAGACAGCTGTCCTTGCCAGGCCCTCCGCCCTGCATCACTGACAAGGGGAAACCACGTCGGAAAATCGGGATGAACTTTTTCGGTCAATGCAAGGATCGAACAACCGACCTCCATGCTAGCGAGCCAGCGCCTTACCCACCTAGCCACCGTGGCTCCCGAGAGACATTAAGTAATATATTGAAACAACACGAGTTACGTAATCACGATTTGTTGTTTCAATATATTACGCAATGTCTTAAGCTTGAGACCATAAAAAAACTTAAAATACAGACACTCGCACGTGCTTTGCAATGAAATAAGTCACACCGGTCCAAAATTTTAACTAGTATAAATAATGTACGCTTGGCACATTGCCCGTACCATTATTGGAAGTAATGATCCGCCAACATCAAAGGATGATGCCACATCTCTATTTTAAGAGTGTATCCGCGAGATAACCATGCAAAAATCGCAAAAAGTGCTAAGATGGGGGGTCGGAAGTTTTTGATCAAACTTATGGTAATGACACCCCCTAGGGGCAAGAGGTAACATGCTGAAGTGGTTACAGTCTGATGTCGCTCTAAAGGACAGTACAGGAATTATTCATTTTATGGGTAAAATTGCGGTTTTCACATGTGTATTTATCACCTTTTTTAAGCACAGGCTGCATTCTATGGTGGAATAGCAACCTTCTAATTTTGACCCTGTCTGATAAAGCGGGTGGTCAACTTCTACCCCAGCACTAATTTGAAAAAAAAAATCAGTACATACTAATTTTGTGTGGACTTGTTTTAGGGTACCATATTCACATTGTCCTTACAGTGCAGAAAAAGATACACTGTAACTTTTTCTTTCATGGTCGCAAGTAGAATTTCTTTGGGTGGTTTTGAAGTGCTAAGCACATAGTATCCATAGGTGTAAAAAAATGACCGGAATGCAACATACTTAAAATATACAGCTTATTGAAAAGTGCTAAAAATAAGCTTTTGTGATACATTTTTTTGCAAATTTAATTAGAGAAATAAATTTTTTGACTTTTATACGTTTTCATCATATCCATAGCCATTATTTGTACCATGTTGTACTCTATATAAGTGTGTATTTGTATTTATTGTATATTTGGTATTGTCGTATTGTCCCTTTAACATATTTGTTGTATTGTCTCTTTAAGATTTCATTTTCAAACAAGTTACCGAAAATGGTACAAAATGTTTAATTTCAGAGCATGTTTCCACTATTCATTTTGGGACACATCCACTGATTTCTACAATACAGAAATGTGGAAGCTTAAATATTAACGGCAACGAAGCCTAATTGCGTCGAAGTGGGTGACATTGAACTGTGTAGTATGGTAGCTACAGCTCTCGGACACCGTCAGCTGCACCTTCAGGGCCGGATTTAGAATAAGAGAGGCCCTAGGCAAACCCCCTGAACAGGGCCCACGACATGGACCTTGGGGCCCTGGGACAAGCAACTCGGTGAGAGGGTGGTTGATGGTTCGAATCTCACTTTTAGGTGAATTTTTCATTTTCGTTGGATTATTTTATTTAAAATAATGTCTATTTGAGAGTAATGGATATTTTTGTTAAGATTGAGCACGTCGAAACTCCAATGGAAGGTCGTGGACAACTGCAGAAGTCAATTCCCGTTGACGCCAGATGAGCCATGAACGATTACAGGCCTTTGAAAGTATTTTTTTTCAAGATATTTTTATAAAACAGATACTAATGTATTTTAGGGCTGGTAGTAAACACCATATGAATGAAAAGGAAAATAAATTGTTAGTTTTTTTTATCTACTACGGTTAATTATCTCCAAAATAGGGAAATTACAGGTTAATTTCATGGGTTAATGTTTCCTTTACCTAGTTTTTGTCAAGTCGATTCCGGTCATTTTTATTTTTTGTATCAAATGTTGGGAGGTTGCTTGTTCACGTGAGCATAATTTTTTTAAACCCACCCCACGAAAGAAGTAGCTATAGGGCGTCAAACTTTGGGTGACGAAAAATGGGGAATTTAGACTGGCTTTGATATCCAGTCCGTATACAGATCTCGTTCGCCAGAATCGTCTGTAGTTAATATTGTGGTAACAACACTGAGTCATCGATAAACTATTTGAGTTTGGTCTTTCTGCTACGTATAATAAAGGTGTAAGGACTTGCCAAAGTTGGTATTTGAGAAAAGACAGATTTTGGCAATTTCACCATATGAAAAATGTTTTTTCAATTTTATCATACAGGAATTGAAAGATTTATCTAATATTGCACATTTATGTGTTTTGGGACTATCCCAACTTATAAACCAAATTTGGTCAAAATCTGTGATTGAAGCCTTAGCACCTTCTGCATGGTTTTCTCGCTGACACGCTCTTAATTGCAAATAAGACTAAAACCATTGTAACCATTGCAGCTCCCTGTGAATATTAATTGTAACTAACCCCAGCACTATACAGCAGTTTCTTTTGACTATTAATTGCCTTTAAATAGCACATACTAGAAGATTTGCTTATTTATTATTACAAAAGACAACAATTGAAACACCAAACAATAAGTATATATCAAATACAACACACGAGTAATATAATTCATTGTCTTTCATGTATTACCCGTCTTCATTAGCCCAGTCGGTACAAAACAGTAGGTCATTAAACTCAGTTTCATTTATCGTATTCGCAAAGGTTTAAGCTAAGGGGTGTGGCTGGCGACGTAACTTTAGAACTAAAGTTCGCGAAAGGCTGGTTATCAATAGGGTACGTCCTGCTACAAACCAATTTTGAAAAAAAATAAATAAATAATTATCCAATTATCAGAGTTTTTGGAAAACGGGATGTAATTCCGAAACGATTTTATGTTTTAAGTTTCATCTGAATCTGATAAAATTCGTGGCCTCCGGAGGTCCACAAACTTTGTACATATGTCAAATTTTGCGTAAACGGCAGGGGTAGAGCCGGGAGTGGGGGGGGGGGGGCATAGAACCAGAACGGAAGGCCCGATGCGCATCCAAATGGAACTCATCTAAGATATGTTGACCCTTAAACATATTAAGTCCACAAACCTATTGCACATATTTCTCAAATTGCGTAAAAGACAGGGGGTAGGATCATAACTCGTGAACGGAAGGTCCATTACACACCAAAATCGAACTCATCCAAGATATTTTGATCCATAACACACATTTAAAGTTTCATCTAATCCAGAGTGTTCACAACCTTTGGATATTATTTAATGCTTTGTCACTTTTGGCGTAAAGGGGAGGGATCATTTCAACGGTAACTTATCCGTGATTATTTCCTTTTATCAAAGTGTTGTATGACGTATGTACCGATCGAATTTATCACTATATTTCCATGTCAAGGCTTAAAATTACAACAATTATGATAGCAGTATAATCACCAGGAACCTAGCCTGGCATCATCGCCGCCATCTTGGATATCAAAAATCGGGTCCGTCAATCGTTGCGCAACCGTTCAAGGAATAAGTTGAATGTCGATCATAGCTGATTTGGCCTTAGACTTTTTTCGAAGAGTGTCGCCACAAGAAGAAGAAGAAGAAAAAGAGGAACAACAACAAGTAGCTCTTATGCCCCAGTTCCTTGTCGAAAAAAAACGTACTATTGTATTGTTATATATATGTCTAGAACCGAGTTGTTGTTACTTCTTCAGAATCAGATTGATGTAGGGAATCCGTATTGTTATCAAGATCCTCTTCATCTAATGAACTCATCTCCAATCTACAAGATGAAAACAATATACATATATTGAGGCTGTTTGTCTTATTACAAGTACCACTTAATTTATAACGTATATTTATTAGTTGGTCGCCAGTAAAACAAGCCTCTTGTATTACGCTTTTTGTATTATTAGACTTGAGGTTTGGCTGTCCTTATGATGGATGATATTATCCCTGCAGAATTAATCTATTCACTATAATATATCTGAGGTATTCCCTTTAAGGGGGTGGGGGGAGAGGCACGGTGGCTCAGTGAACAAGACGTTGGTTCGCTAACCTTGAGGTACCGTGTTCGATCCCGGTGTTGACCGAGACGCACAGAGGTTTTCCGACGGGATTCCTCCTAGGCAGTGGTGCAGGACGGATACCCTGGCAAGAGACAACGTATAGTTGTTCGGGTGGGACCAAACAGGTCTAGTGTCGAAATTGGGGTGAACGTAAAAGAGCCCATTACAGAATTCGAGGCCGTAGTCCTTCATAGCCCGTCTTCATTAGCCCAGAGTAGTAGGACGTAAAACCCTATTTTATTTCCCACCCCCAATTTTGAAAATCGCCTTATTTTCCCACGTATACTGATCATGATTCACGGGTTGGGATCCAACAAGGAACACCCATTAATACCCTTAATACTGCGATATCACTACTGTGGAATTAGGCGTTAAAGGTACAAGAGTCAAATCTTCCTATTGCAGATCATTCATTTGACTTCAAATGTTATTTAAATTATTAATTAGACATTCATACACATGAATCAACTCTTTAGCCAGTGATTTTTAATGGATCAAAACACGATCGCCATTTCATAATTTAATTTAAAAACGATAATCGAGACTTTGTATAATATCGCAGCAATGGTAGTTGATAATCTAGACTATAATAGTTAAATCTCCAAACACCGAAAACTTAACTCAGAGTAAAGTAATTTTACTGTATGTTATTTTTTCAGTGTCTATTTTTGAACTATTTATAGCCAGAACGGCCAGCCATTTTAATTGAATCTTACATAATGCATCTTCACCCCCCCCCCCCTTCCACCCCCGCCTAGTCAAATAACTTTTGGTAATCGTGACACTGCACTTTAACATGATAAACTCTTTTTGTTAGAAGAGGACTGGAAGGTCGTGGCAGAAGACATTTTCCATGGACAAATCAAAAATGCTTACATGGTATCATCTTGCACAATTGATCCATCATTCATGCTAATACTGTCGACAGTTAAACCATCAATTTGGGAATAGTGTGGTGCTACAAGTGTCACTCTCTTCCTCTGTAAAAATGTATAAAATATTTTTCAGAACAAAGGTCGACATTCAAACAATACGGCATCTTGGGAATGACATTTTTGTGGCTTGGTTTGTCGCAAACGTTTTACTGATAGTGACTAAAACTAAAGCGCAAAATGACTGCATTGTAAATAAATTTTAAATTTTCCCTACTTTTCTGCACGAACTGGTGCCCCAGTCGTGGCGCTTCAGCCTGATCGGTTCTGGTGTTGGCCAAGAACGTCCATCCGGATTTTCTAGACTGGATTCTCTGCTCAGTGGTGCGGGATGGAGTGCCCGGCAAACAAAGGCGTCTCCTCGCTCGGATGGGACCACAAACATTGGCGTACACGTAAAATAACTCTTGACAGTTGGAATTTGAAATAAGAGCAGGTCGTAATGCCGCTGTTCGGTCAAAAATTTCCCTCATGGCACACTGTATGACATAATCCCGTCTTAATTAGCGCAGTCAATGCAGAAAAGTGGGATATTTTAATAACCCCCAGTTCATTTCAATTTGCTTAACTTCTAAGAGCATTTGCCCGAAACGTTGTTTTTAATTACACGTGTACACTATTCGACACGTGTTGCTCATGTCCCACCCAATAATAATGACAAAAGATCTTTACTTGTATTTGTAGATTTTGTCGTGAGTTTGTACTATCTTCGTCATCAGTTGAGTGATTGTGGTCAGACACATATGATTCTCTTCTATATGTAGGGCTATAGGTTATACGATCAGTGCTTTCACTTGGTATCACTAGCAAGATTGGTTTGGCAACCTGCAACATAAAGTAGAATCGGGCGTTAAGGTATTTGTAGTACAGTAATTACTGAAAATCATTGCCCCACTGCTTTAGTAAATATAGAAGCGGTGGGGCAGTATCGATTATCAAATAAAAACAGCGCAATTTTTGGGACTATTTGACAGATGGAAAGTAGCATATTTAGGTGAACATCACACTTGTAACACAAAACACAAGGCGTTCACGTCTCAAAACTTCTCTAAGGTATATCGAATTGAGTAAGATTTTCGCGCTCGAACACCCACGTTCCCCAGTGCTTCAAATTGAAGAATGCCCTGTCCGGAAATAACTGCATCTGATAATTTACTTGCGCATGGGACTCGCAGGAAACCTGTTGTGCATCTGTTAGGTTACCGTATTCATACCGGTTTATACGTTTGTTAATATTGCCTTTACGTAACCCTCTGCTAGATATTATTTGGAACAATCCTAACTGTGTATTATCAGTATAAGTCTCTGATTTCTTATCTACATTGCGTGTGCCCACAATTGCACATGCATTATGGTCGCTTATTTTGTAAGTAAAGTAGAATAATGTATCGAGTCCGACCGCGATGCTGCGCACGTATAATATAATCTTATGTATATCTAAAGGAGCAAAATTGATTTGTCTGTTTGTTTCGTTGTTCACTAAATGAAACCTTTAAACTACTAAATAACGTCATAATAACCAGTTTTGTATTTGATGCCCTATTTAATGATGAAAATGATTACTGAGTTAATGTGGATGTTATAAAATGTAGATAAACTTACTCAGGTAATATCAATTAAAACACAGAGACGAAAATTAATAACAGTCACATGGGGAATTGTGCCTGGCATTGCACGTGACTTGTTTCCAAAGTTTGTCGTGTTAAACGACTCAATGGTACTCCCATCAAATGCCGTTATCTGTTATTTATGATTTTACTAATGCTTCTTTTAACATATGGCCCGATTAAAGGGCTATTGCCTGAACGTGTATGTCGAGGTTTTCACTGAAAACACGATCTGCTTGTTTACCCATGAGGGAATAAGATAAAAATACACTATTTGATGATTTATTCATAACCACCAGCTGACCATTCACTTGATTTGATATTTGTAGTTTATTTCTGGCAATATCTATGTAGTTTGTCTTGTCCGCAGGTTTTTCTGATCCTCCTACACTTACTATTTGATTGGGTTATTCAGTCCCAGATTCTACACCGCAAATAAAAGTGTGTTTAACGGCCCATAGTGTAAATATGTAAACTAAACAGCCAAATGTGACGACAAAGTCTACTTGCAAATGCTGTCCCTTTAAACTATACTAAGTACATATGAACCTACTAGGAAATTTAACCGTAAACAAGTCCATGGTATATAACATGGTCCGTTATATTTATCTCTAGTAAATGAATTCTGGGCTACTCCTGAAATACATAATATCATAAGACATTCATTAGATTATGAACCAAATCGCAGATGAACAAATATATATATATCACCATACAACAGTCATTCATATTTAAGACATTTAGTAATAGTTTAACTTGATTTATTACAAAGTGAATGCTTGTTTTACGAAATATGAATCATATTCCGTCTTATGCATCGACCAATCAGAGATTTACGCTGTACAACTACACAAGATCTCTGAAACATGTTTTCTTCATAAAATAAAAATGTCTTACCTTGAATTAATATCACATCTGCCATTTTGGAGGTTATTCTAAAGTCACTACCAGAATAAATATAAGCTGATTCCAGCCGTAGTTTGATTTTTTCACAACTGTATCCCTTTAAAAGTAAATACGTTTATGCGTTGTTTATTAAATCGATGTTCGAGTTCATTTAATTGCATATTATTACAAAGAAAAAACTTCTAGATGATACCGGAAACTTAAAATACTCGGCTGGTTCTAGACCTCTCAGATTCCTCGATAGAAAATATCATCGCTGTCTAAGTGAAATGTCTGCAGAGTTCCAAAGTTAGATTCCATTTCAACGGCTGTTTTTCCGCTGTGAATCACTTGACATCTTACCCCAAACTTTTCTGATTTATTTTTCTTAAGTTTTCAATTGAAGAAAAGCTTTCAACGGCTGTAAACGTTATTGTTTACGTGTCTTCGGTAAAGGGGGGTACCAGTTCGGGAATTTCAGACTGGAAACGGTCGTTGCGTCAGGAAAATGATAGGAATCAGGGCAATGCGATACATGAAATAAAGTTATTTAACTCACCTGATATGGCGGTTGTTCCATTAAAATACCAACAGCTAATCGTGTAGCACAAACTTTCCATAGTCTATATTCTAGAGTTGGATGAGTATCATCAAATTCCTTAAATGCTTCTTCCATATCACTTGCACTTATAAACATAGCCTGTATTTGTAATAAAATATAGCCTTAACTATCAACATAGTAAATCTTCCGGTTCAATCCCGTCTTCATTAATAATGTTAAGTATATTTATTCCACTCAAAGAAAGACGAAATCGACATAAATTAAAACTACTTTACAAAATCATCAATAATCTAACCCCTCCTTATCTTAAGAATCTCATAAACCTTGAACCTACAAACAAATATTCCCTTCGTAATGAAGACAAATTAAAAGAAATTCGATGTCGTACTGAAAGTTTTGCTAAATCATTTATCCCATCCGGTATAAGAGAGTGGAATAAACTGCAAGGAATTTTAGAACTTTGAAAATATTCTCCGATCATCTATCCAAATCTGATATCAAAGTTCCTTCATTTTATTATAACGGTCAGCGGAAACCTCAAATAATTCATTGTAAATTACGACTTCGATGCTTTGACCTGCAGGGTAACAAATTCCTAAGACATGTTGCCGACAGTCCCGCATGCCTCTGCGGTCATATATTTGAAGATACAGATCATTACCTTCAGCGATGTTCCTAACATTCAAATGCACGAACAGAAACCATAGACAAATTACAACATGATTTTAAAAATATCAACTGCCTTTTATTCGGCCCCACAACCTACAGTCTTGATGTTAACACGAATATTTTTAATCAGGTCCATAAGTTTATAAATATGTCAAACAGATTTTAATCTCGATCAAATAATTTTTCATCATCTATTTTATGTACAATTTTGGCTAGTCTCTCTAATGTTGCCTATTTTTAAAAAATTCTTACTATGCTTGTGTATAATTATTAACTACTATATATACTGTACATTATCACCCATTTTATTATATTTATATAATATGTATGTGTTTTCCATTTTAACTATGTATATACACCCATTTTGCATTAATAATATATATAAATTATTATTTAGGGAGAGGTTTTTTTAGCTAAGCCTGTTCCACAATCCCATTGAGACAACCTGAATAAAAATATGGTTAAAAAAGTATATTATATCATAAAAGGTTGATACTGTCATTGTTATCCGTCTTTGAAATTAACCGGAAGTGCTTTTTCTCTTATGTAGTTACAGTGTTACAGTGTTTTAAAATCCGGCCTCTGTCCAGACGGTCCGGATAAATGCAATCTGATTAAAATACAGATCGTTTCGGGTTTTTTTTATACTTTTGATGGCCTCTACTACATGAAAGTCTGACCAGTTGTAGTGGGGGGTTGCGTCAGGGGTCACAAGAGCGGCTTTTGACCTTATGATATCAGACATTTGATTAACCAATCAATGTTGATGTCGCTGGATACCCACAGTTCCGTGCATCGTACGCCAAGAACTGCTGCAACATACGTTTCATTCGCTAATCCCTCACACCAATCAGAACGCGAGCTATATAACAACTCGTCCAGCTCCTAGTGCAGTAAAGACAAGTAAAACCAAATTTGGAACTATAAAAAACGAAACGAAATAGGATCTGCCTTCTAATCAGATTGATCGCTCTTGATATGGGTAGCGGTTTTCGTTTCCACGCTCCCTTTTCTGTGTTTCTTTCCATTGGCCCCTTAATCAGGACTGGCCTTTTATGGCAAGATTCTTTAGACACATTTGGAAGCGGACATATCAGATTAATTATAAACATAGCCTTCAACATATCAGCTTGATTATAAATATAAACTATAAGCATAGATTATCAACATAACAACTTAATTGTAGATGAAACAGGGGTTAACGTCCTTTTTTATGCAAACTGGGCTAATGAAGACGTGTACTTGATTGTAAACATAGCCTATCAACATATTAACTTAATTATAATCATAGCTTAACTACGGTGGTCTTTTAGTGCCATACGTTGATTTATACCTTTTTCCTATATTTATCTCACATGAGAAATCGCAGTGAAAACTATGATAAATCAAAATACATAAAAAAAACATTTTCGCCGCGGTGTAAAACTTTTCTCCGCGGTATAAGGTGTAAACTTGATTATAAACGCAGTCTATGCCAGTTCAAAAATAGTTTATATTTTAGATAATAATCTTTCACTTTTAATTCATTTTTAAAAACCCCATATATTTGTTGTATTTTCTTACCTGAACCACAGTTTCGCATACAGCGGTAGACATTCTAACATCATGTGTTAATAAACTAATTTCACCTATTATACTACCTGTAGACAAAATATCTATTACTTTATCTCTATCTTCTGATTCATGCAAAGTCAACTGAAAAGAATAAACGAATGCCTCCTGGATTATTCGATCCTTTTTATAAAGAAATCAATGATGCTATCTATATCTCAAGTTTACCAAATGGTAATGTCGATTTAAAAGATATTATTTAATATGAATTAGTCTTTCTAATATACGTTTACAGTTCTGTCATCTTATGGCAAAATCTAGTTAGTCACTTTTTGTAAGTTTAGATAAAAACGAAAAAAAAATGGACTAAAGGATTGGTATTGTAAGACGCAATGAAGACTGATCTGACTGGAATTGCTGGGTATGCAAGAAACGTAGGCAAATGGGGTAAAGATAGAACAAACAATAACGTGTGCGTCCACCTCTAGAAGACACACGCATCATGAAACGTCGGCACATGGAGGAGATAAGCCGCTGAACTCCTGCTTGTGGGATCTTTTCCCAATCTCGTTGCAGTGCTGCTTCCAGTGCCTCTGATACCAATGTCTCCATAATTAACATGATGACGCGTTCTCGGTGTTCGGGTATCAACCTTGGCTTATAGTTCCCACTTCCACAGAACTTTAGAAGTTGTATTGACTCCAACGGTTAAAAAACACATTTCATACATAATACATCATGTCTGCACCATAAGTTCGTGATTCACAACATTGTCCATTCTGTCGAATTCATTGTGTGTATGAATTTGATAGAATAGATCTGCGATGCGTTTACGCAATCCTGAAAAGATGATCCCCCGGGGTTGAAACATTCAGAATTACAAGATTAAAATGTATCTCTTAAACGAGATTTACAATCATCTGTTTATAAAAGCTGTCCATTTTCATTGCGTCCCAGTTGTTAGTTTTTGTGGTAGCTGCTTTAAACTGAACGCTTGGTAATAATTGATAGATAATTTGCCGACTGTGGGTAATTTTAACAGCTTGTGGAAGTCGTTATTGGATGATTATTTTCTTGTAAACAAGCAGAAATTTATCACTTAATAGCCTCGGTCAGTAGATACTGAAGAGGTACTACGTTTTGGTCTTGCAACAGTCACAAAAATGCTTGACATATTAGAAACGGCCCAACTCGTTATGCACCTACCAGGTGTCCAATAGCAACAAATCATTTAACAAGTACCAGATGGAGCAGGCACCGAGCATGGCGTCATTACATCAATCTTGGAATTGCCACGTCATACAAAAAAGTGCCAATCGATGCGCACAAGCTTGTCATGCTTATTTGACAGAGCTACGCCCCAAGTAGAAGAACACCTGGTAGCGCTTAGGGCCCAGTTCCTGGTGCACAAATTTCGTTTTCAGTAGAAATGTCGTAAAGTATGATTTACCTTGCTACTACAGAGTTACAGCGATTCATACTGATTTAATTTAAAAGTTGCCGTGGGTGACTGCAATTTTCTTTGTGCTAATTCATAAATTAGTATTTGAAGATTTATGTTATACTGTCGCATTCAATATGTTCTTAAATTTACCAAAGTTACAGATACTCACCCTGACTAAACCAGAAACAATAATGTATATACCGTTACAAGGATCACCTTCATTAAATATAACATCATCATATGCAAAATTAACCAATTTGGCTCGATCCTAAAAGTAAAAAAAAAACATGAATCACTAGCAAGTTGCAACCACGCCGTAAAATTCTGAGGAGCGAACCCAAGAGTTCCTGTTTAGCGAATCACTGTCTTACTGACTAACCCACTTGGTCTCCATATTGAGAACGTATCTTCAATTTTGTTACTCTACATATGTCCACTAACAGCTTCCTCCCCTATACTATTTAGAGTTCACAACGTTCTTGGATCAGTGGCCTGTACTGTAAACAATGATCAAAGTTCAACAGAGATGTAATGAAGACGGACATACACCATGCAGTGTGCTATGAGGGAAATTTGGTCCAGGCAGTGGCGCTACATACTTATTTCGACTTCCAACTATCAAGGTTTCTTTTGCGTACACGCCAAATTGTACATGGAACCTCGGGGTTTCGTACAATCCCAATTACTAGACGCTGTTCCTTGCCATGCCATGAATCACTAGCAAGTGGCAACCACGCCGTAAAATTCCGAGGAGCGAACCCAAGAGTTCCTGTTTAGCGAACCACTGTCTTACTGACTAACCCACTTCGTCTCCATATTGAGAACGTATCTTCAATTTTGTTACTATACTATGTCTTTTATACCTTTATAAAGTTAACAATGTTTTGATCTTCCCCAATCCATGTAACGTTAGTTAACATTTTATCCGGTGGTGGCACAGGAATACTTGTTGGTAGAGATAATACACGTTTCATATTATCTTCTATTTTCTATAGGAAAATAAAAATACAATTTTATAAGAACGGTGTAATCAAAATTATAACAGTACAGCTTTAAGTAAGAGTTTTTTTACTACAGTTTTCGAAAAATATAACATTTAATTCTAGTTTCACTGTGGTAATCCGCAGGGTTCCTTACTTTGTCCACTACTATTCATATTAGTAATACTGGTGATGAGGGCGCTCTATAGTGGAAGAATACTAAGGCCGATGCGTTGTCATACGCAACTTATGCATCAAAAGAATTAAAAAAACACTATCAAAATAATTTGTTTGGGAAACATTTCTGCATACATATGATCAAGAATATATAACTACTACTTCGGTATTTTAAGATTACCTCAAGTAATTTTTCGGTTTCCGATTCTTCCAATACACCATCCTCTAATAATTTCTGTACTCCTTCTCTTAAACAATTAAGAACACTTCTAGCTGCCTGTCTAGTTTTGACTGATAATGCAACTTGAGGATAGTCTTTCTGTAACATAGCTAAATAAAAATGAAATCTAAGATTAAAACTAATTGTAACAAAACAAAACAAAAAACACGATAGATATGAAGTCCGAAACATTAGGGGAAGTTATTCCAATCGAAAGACATTTACAGGTCATTCCATTATATACCATAACGCATATAACTATGCACGTCATGGGATCCATACCACATTGGCTGTTAGTGTCGACTGGGCGTTAAACCACATTGTTCCCTCTCGAAAGCAAATTAATGGAATAAAACTATACCATCTGTATGTCTCAAGCGAATTACTGGAATATCAAGCGGTTGCCATGCAATATACGCTCACATTTTGTAAGAGATGGATAGTGAACAATCATGGGTCATAATCAAGGCGACTACGGTCCTTTATGCACTAATATCGAAAGAAATTGAGATCTTTAGGTTATAATAATTTTAAGTTTCATCAAAATCAGATAACATTTGTGACCTCTAAGAGTGTCTACAAGCTATAAACGTGATTTTCGTACAATCATGGCCATACTCCATGAATTTGCGGTTCAATACATGCCAATATCGAAAGAGACGGAGATCCGTGGGATATCATCCTATATTTCAAGTTTCGTCAAAATCGGATATATAGAAATTGTGACCTGTAGAGTGTCCACAAACAAAATGGGAACGGGTGGGTGGGCGGTATTCAGGTGCGACGACAATATATCCAAATGAAAATATATCGTTTGTACGTCACAAAAATGACCTAGTTAGTGGACGTTAAAATATAATAATGCTTTGTGAAATGCTTACCTAAGCATTTGATAACTTCAAGTTTTCCTTTATCACTAGTGCTCTTTAAATGTGACGCTATATCTGCATTATCAACCATTCTATCAATTAATTTACGAACGTCTTCTTCTCCTGCTACATAACCTCTACCTACGTCATAGCCTATACTTATTCCTGTTGTCATCTGATATTGCAGTAACTTCCAAACAAGTGGTATTAAAATCTTAAAGAAATAATCATTTAATTTCATTCAAGGATACGAAACATTTTACAAGGAGCTCACACAAGCAAATAATACGCGCACCCGTTTTTATTTGCCATTACAGTTATATGTTTATTTGCCAGTGTAGTATTATTAGCATTAAGAGACAGACTGGGCTAATGAAGACAGGTATGCGCCATAGTGTGTGCTAGAAAGAAAAGATTGTCCAGACAGTGGCGTTTCCGCCCCATTCGAACAATAAGATGCTTTCCCTCCCCCCGTTCTGCGCCACTGATAATGGTTCACCACGCTAAAATAACAAAAAAATGCCAAGGAACATTCTCGGCCAAAATAGGGATTATGCCAGCCACGGTTGACAGTTGTACATATTTCTTGCGCACAAACTACTGTCACAGGAATCTCCTAACATAAGACATCAAACATTTGATTTCAAATGACCCATAACCGGAATTTTTTTGAGCATTCACCGAAATATTTTATCTAAATTAATTTTACTTTACCTCAAAATATCGTAAAAACCGAATGCATCGGAGAGCTAAGAACGCCCAAATTACTGGTTGTAGGTTAAAGAATGAAAAGTCCAGAATCACATCGACAATTCCATGAATGATGATAATAAAACACAATATCTGCCACACGATCTTAAAATACCCCGCTCTCTGCGTTAGGACCTGGTATGAGAAAAACGATAGAAATACGCCATTGTTTATTTATTCAGGGTATTAATTACTAATATATATTGTAAAGAAAGGTAGGAAACCCAGGGCTAGTAATATGTGGTCATCTGTTTTTAGAGTAAATTACTATAGTTTATGTTTTACGGAACACTAATATGTGTATAAACATGTATTTAAGCCAATAAGCATCACCGTTATTTGTGAACTACTGACAGTGTCTATATTTTGTTACGTATTTTTCTCCAGAAAAAAACACTCTTCCTAATATACTATATCAGTTTTAAACTGATTTATATTTTTCAATACTTAATTAATTCATAATAATAAAATGTAAATAAAATACTACCTTGAAGAAAAATTCAAGAATGTAGATGCCCAAACAAGTTGCATTAAAGGATCTAAAATAAATTCTATATTCATGCCATTTATCATCGAATTCACTGACCAGTGATAAGGCACAGTTTATCATATCGAGGCTGAGGATGACGTATATAAAAATCCAGAATGGTTTGGATAAAACTATCATAAACAGTGTTTTTAAAATCGGATGAGATGAACAACAGCTTGGATTATTATTATCAATAATCTTCTTCACCATATTCGTCTAAAAATAGAACAGTATACAAAAGAATTGTGAATTACATTCTACCAATTATTCCTCAATGTACCATTGCTGGATTTAACGTAGCAGTACATTTTTCATTATACAAGAAACACTAGTACTTAACACAGTACAAATACAAGAAGTACTAGTAACATTACAGTACACTAGTACGTAACAGTATAGCTATCATTATACAAAAATACTAATATGTAACAGTACAGTATTCATTATACAAGAAATAGTAATACGTAACAGACAGGAATTACTATTACCAACAGTAAAGTTATCGTTATACAAAAATACTAATATGTAACAATACAGTATTCAAGAAATACTAGTACGTAACAGTAAACTCATCATTATACAAAAATACTAATACGCAATAGTACAGCTATCATTATGCAAGAAATACTAGTACGTAACAGTATAATTCTCATTATACAAGAAATGCTAGCATGTAACAGTACCGGTATATATCATTATACTCTTCAAAAAAAAATAGGGGATATTGAAATGCAAATACCTATGCAGGTTGCGATATGATAAATAGTCATGGGCACTTGACATGCTTTGAGAGTATGTTCACAAATGGAGAACTTATCGCCCCAACAGAACCACTGAGACGCACATGCGACACGCAATAGCGCCATACACGTGGGCGGGGTTCATTGTCAAATTTGACACTTCAAGGAAGGGTTGATGAAAACTGCCGCGTGCTTGTTTATCTATCCATGTTTGCTTCCCTATTTGTTCTTGCATAAGATTTACTGTTTAGCGTATCTTTGTTTTAGTGTGTTACGTTTAATTTTATCGGGAGGCGTGTTCGTCGACGTCAACGTCAACCGACAATACTGCAAGAATTGGCCGTGGCACTGCAAGAGTAGTGGGTCAGATTGCCCCAAATCGTGATTAGACGGTTGATTAGGAGCATGCTACGACGAATTGCTGAATGTCTGAGGATTGAAGGAGCAATTAATTACTCATTATTAAGACAAAAATCGAAAACGTCCATTTTCACTTTTGACGGTGTATCTCTTTGCAATTGAAATGGGACCGTCAGATAAGCCGCCCATATCAACTGTTTATGTTCATGTATAGGCAGGTGGCCTGTTATAAACATACACTGGTTACTTCTAATAAAAACAGCAGTGCATTTCCGCAGTTTTGTATTGTTTCTGAATATCCCCTACTTTTTTTGAAGAGTATATATCATATATCATTAGAACATCTTTTTTAAAGATTTCATATCACCATAGAGGCACCAAAACCAAGGGCAAGAGGCACAATAACACTGTCAGATATGTGAACGCCTAAAATGAGGAATGGTACCAGGTGTTCTAAAAAAAGCATATCCCGTCACTACTTAAAGCTAAATTGAACAATACGACTGTCAATCAGAACACTATCCAACCATTTTAACTCTGATGATATGGCAGATTATATCAAAAATATGTTTCATGTATGTGTTCCGCTCGCCAAATTTCCCGAAGATTATGTTCGATGTTATACTATAGGATCAATAATACAGATATTATACAAAATTATATCTTACTAGTTTTTTCAGTATTGTAGATATTTCCCATGTTGATTTAATTTCTTCAACATTAACGAAACTGAAATATATGTCAATATTATAATACGTTTATATGGACTAAGTGAAAAAAGAAAAAAAAAATCGGGGCCACGGTGGCTAAATTGGTAACACGCTGGCTCGCTAGTCTGGAGGTCGAGAGAGAGAGTGAGAGAGAGAAGGAGGGGGGGGGAACGTTCACTCGACACAAACTAGGTCATTTCGGGACTAACATATGGTTCAATTTTATTTCAATAATTCGCTATGATAAGCAAACTAATGTGGCATTGGTATGGTACTTCATGTTAAAGGAATAGTCCCCAATTTCAAAGGATAACCGTGGATAAAGATGGGTTTAAGTACTCGAATTAAACGTCACTGTGTCAAAGAATATCTCAAATAGGTTGCCTGAAAATTTCAGTTGAAAACATCGAACCGTTCGAAAGCGATCAGTTAGATTTACTTGATTGGGTTACGTACCAGCTGTTCGGTTGTGTTTTGTAGGAATTGCGACAATGACGTATCACAATAGCTTATGCAAATATAGACATGGCTTTCTATGCTCTTGGAATAAATAAAATGAAATAGGGTTTAACTTTCTACAGTTCTACAATAACCGAGCGACCTTTAGATAGCGGGAAAGGCGATAACTTTGGGTATTTGTCATCAAAAACATATATAAACTGAAAGTTTGAATGACTTTGAAAAAATACTTCACATCTTAATTAAAGATACATTATGGAAAATTAGACAAAGAACTCAATACAATAGTTAAAAACTGCTTCACTGAGAAAACCTTATTTTAAAATCACCGTAGCGTCGATTGCCATTGTCACTTCAAGTACTTCACATCTTAATTAAAGACACATTATGGTAGATTAGACAAAGAATTGGCAGCTCTCACTACAATAGTTAAAAACTAGATAATGTAAAGGGGACATGCTGAAAATTTCACTCAAATTGCTTCACTCTAAGTCGATAAAACCTTATTTCAAAATCACCGTAGCCTCGACTGTCATTGTTACCGCTGTCATAATAATTCACAAAGTCTCGATTATCCACTTTTGCGGTTAATCATCAATGAGCGTTTAACAGCAGATCGGATTTAAATCCAATGAAAATTGGACACATAAGATGGCATCGAGAATTGATTATAGTCTTTTCATGTTAATAAATGTCTAATTAATAGTTTAGATAACATTTCCGGCCTAAAGAATAGACAGATTTAGCTCTAGCATAATGTATGTTTAACTCGTTAGATTCATTAAAATACATTTAATGTCTCTTATCATCATTTGGTGGATTTCTAATCGATTGTAAACTTCAATACAGTGAAAGTTTAATCTCTAAAAGGATTCCAATCCAAAAATATTTACACAGACGTGATAAATCAAAGATATATGTCAACATTCGGCATCCACTACAGATATGACCAAACCTGACCAGCGCCACATATTGAGTATATTTTACTGTGGATTAAGCAATGAAAAAGACCCAGATAATTGTCGGAAAATGTAAATGAGGATCAGCACCATTAAATCGTTATAATTTACACCGCCCTGATTGTATCTTGATATTTTTGCAGCAGAACAAGTATTTAATTACAATAATAGACTGGCCCGAAGTAAGTGATTCAGTTTTAATAATGACAATTAAATTATATACTTACGCTCCCTTTTTATCGGATGCTACTTCAGTAAAACCTTGCAGTGTACGAACTGATTCCCGGGATAACATGCCTTGTTCAAACTGTCTCCAATAACTTAACTATCAAAAAAATATGAAATGATATATTAATTTTAAATACTCTAAATATACAGAATTTTCCAGTCAGTTAGTAGATGTATCTCTTTAATCATAATAATTCCATAAGAACAAACCCAATTTGATTAAAACACAGATCCCATTTTATTTCGTTTTTTATAGTTAAAATTTTTGTTTTACTTGCCTTCACTACACTAGGGTCTGGAGGAGTTGTTATATAACTCGCGCTCTGGTTGATGTGAGGGTTTAGCCAAAGCAAGCGACTGTTGAGGCGAGTTCTTGGCGTGCCATGCACGGAACTGTGGGTAGACATTCGCAGACAAAGCAATAGTTGCATTTCCAAATACCCAGTTGAAACATTAACACTAATTGGTTAATCAAATGTCTGACCTCATAGGAGGGGGTTGGATGGTCGAATGGTTAGCGCGTGCGCGTTATATCATAAGGTGTGTCATTGAGTCAACTGGCATGGTTTCGATTCCCCGGTTGTACGTGAGAAGGAGTAGGGTCGCATATTCAACCTCGTCGGGTTTAGTGGAATAAATGACATAGTTTGTGTCGAGTGGGAGTTAAACGCCATCCCAATACAACCGAAAGTATAAAATAACGAAACGAAATATAGATCTGTATTTTAATCAGATTAAGATGAATCTTGATTTGAATAAAAACAAAGTATTGCTTATTTTAATTAGTGATGGCGGCAAAGTATAAGCGATTAAATAAATGTTACGAACTATTAAAAAAGAAGTCATTTCGTATACTAATTTGAGTATCGTTTTTATACCTTATCTGTCATTCAACAACATAAATAAAAACAAAAGTTCCAATGAAACTGACAATTCTATTTTTGACCAGATCAGAGAATTTTAAGCATTTTATTCATAACAGCTTAAGCCACAAAAATGATATCAAACACTATTAAAAAAATATGAAGATATTTGCTTACTTTTTCTGCTTTTAATAATCTAAGGATTGCCTCGTTTGTAGTGTCGGCCAGCTCTTTTTGTGTTAGTTGAACAGGTAAACTGGCACAGCAATCGGGACATACAGACTTAGGGCGTATTTGCATTTTATTTATTTCAATCTGTTAAACAAAAGATTGGCATTGATATTTTAACTCTTTAATATTTGATAATAAGATCATTGAAAATTTGACCATGATGACGTCATGATATAACTTCGGGAAAACTTCTGTCAACTTAAAAACTTTTAAGATAATAATTTTTGAGGATTGTTTCCACTTTTAAAGTGGTGTAGAACTACTTGTTTCAATATCAATATTTGTAAATTTGGTCAAATCACGGTCATTTTGTTTGAAGTCATACTTAGACCCATTGTGGTGACCAATTTCGGCCAATTTTTAATTTGTTATTTTATGGACCAAATACAACAGGAAAACACCATAAAACGTTTCTTGCAATTGTTTTTTACAAAAAAGTAATTGATTGCCACTAGATAAGAGAACGCGAGAAAAATAAAAATAGTCCGTACATTCACTTGTTTTTATTCATTCTATACTTAATAGCAACATGGTAATGCACGGACTTTTTCTATATTTTTTCATTTTCTCTTTTCTAGTGACAGTCAATTTCTGTTTTGAATTGTCAAATATCCTCTCACAGTCTCATATAACAACTTTTGGTCTTGGAAGGAATTATTAGTAAGCAGAAATTCGCCCTTGTATCTGTTATCACGCGTCACTTCAGTCAGTTATATGGAAGGATAGCTCGTGTTTTCCTTTTGATTTCGTCACTTCCGTTTGTTGAAACCTTGATTACGCATCTATCGTAGCAATGATATCTATGTTAAAATTATATTTGGAACGTGTTTAACCAGTTCTATCACATATGTGATAATGACTGACACCAATATTGTCTTTTAAGACCAGCTCAATTTTCGTCAAGACAGTTGAGATGTGAATAAGGTTAGGGCAAGTGATTGCTGGCGAGATTGTAGATTAGGGTTAGGGTAAGCATTGGGTCTAGTTCCAGGGTTAGGGTTAGGGTTGGGTGACATCTCGTGACCTTTGACCAAACTTGAAGTTGGCCTTATCAAATAGATCGAACCGTTAATAATAAAAGATCATACCTCATCTTTTGACACTTTATAAGGTGATGTTATTTCACAAGATCTTTCAACCAGTTCCCAATCCGAATCGGCTAAAAACCTATTTTAGAAAATAATCAATATCCTAGCAGATTAATTATAATGCAGTATCACTAACACGAATACTATCAAATTGATAGCAATCAGTGTCAGTTGACATAATTGCAATAATACTGCCCGGGCCAGTTAGTGTTACTGCGTCCGACGTAAACAACGCACTTGTATTCCAGGCCGTATGATCTAAAGGTCAGACATCTTGTACAGAGCTAAACGAAGGCCTTCGCACTGTAGTCGTGAAACAGTTTGGGATACTATATATTCACATATGAATCTTGCAGTTTTTCTGTATTTTGACAATGAACATTTAACATGTTTGTGTCAAACATCTGTAATCAGTGTTAAAATTAAAAGGTTATTGTCAGATATTACAGCTGTTATAACGACCCAATCTAGTAATGTCAGTGCCCTAAATATAAATAAAAGGAAAAAAGGTATCGCACCGAACCGAACCGCCCCGCTCTGTGATATGGTTTAAGGTGGGGTGGGATAGAGTAGAATCGTTCGCTGTTTTAATTAAATGCTTCGAATCGAAGATATTCCGATCTGGTAATAACTATCCAACCATCCAAGGAAATATACCAGAACGTAACAATTTTTTACCTGTCTGTTTTTAACATATGCAGAGTTTTTTGTCTGAGTTCCTGAAGATGTTTGACAGCACTGGCCATTGCCATTCTTTTAGCAGTAGAAATATCATTCATGCCTGGAAGGTAAGAATAAAAGTCATATACTGATGTCCATCGTTTGTAATACTGAAATTTGTCATGCTTGGCGTATATTTCTTCAAGATACATTATGTAAGATAAAGAGCTAGCCATGCTTGCTATAATAGTTCGAAAATAGATAATGTAAAAGGAATAATTTAAAATTTTCATTCCAATTATTCTATTGTGAGCGAAAATATTAGCCTTTGCGAAGGTTTGACAAGACGTGTGCAATAATTGCAACCACCGTACTGGATGTTCGAAGCTAAGTCTCGCTCCTATATTTTTAAATTAAATTAAAATATGGCTGAACCGTTCTTATCTATTTAATATCGGAGAAATCCGATACCACCGAGAGTTGATTATGGCCTGGATCAGTTAATTAATGTCTAATTAATAATTTAGAAAACATTTCAGGCCTAAAGAAAGACCTGCAATGGGCAGATTTAGCTCTTGCATAATGTCTGTTTAAGTTTATATTAATATCTAAAATATAATAAACCTGTTGAACAAATGAATCAGGAAACCTACCTAATAATTTCAGTAAAAAGGGTATCGTGGTGGCATTTATCAATAAAGTTAAAAACACGATACCAGAAATATGAATAAATATCTGAAAAATAGTAAAAACGGCATAGTTTTAAGTCGGTTACGGAAACTTTTAGCAGTTTGAATTTGTGATATTTGGCACAATTTTCTAGCGGACTGGATTCTTTAACACTGGACCGAAACCGGGTTTCCTTGAGAAACCATGAAGTTAGGTATGCAACCGCCTTAAAAATAGCAATCAATAGACATCCAGAACGCCAAAACGCTTGATAGAAAACCACTTGTAGACAAGGCTTGTGTCTTGATATATAAAGGATTCAGAAGTTCTTACTTAAACTAGGGTTCTTCCTTATGCCCAAAAATGAACAATTCTTCCCAAACCTAATCATAGTTCCATTGAGAACTTTGATTGAAATAGGCTGTGACTAAGATGTGTTGCACCCCTCGAGTGTCTAGGTAATATGTAGCCCAACATTACAATTAATGCTTTATTCGTTTCCTCCTTTACCTTTTTTTACAATAAAGATAAATTAGTATTTTAAAATCGAATTTTTTTCTGCCAAGCGTAATACATTGTGAATATTAATTTGGCGTTAAGCGTACTAAAATTCATACGCCGTTCATGACGTAAAAATGTTACATGAAACCACATGAGTGGCTAGTTGTTTAACATCTCTATTGTTAGTGCACAGTCAAACATTTAACACAATAAAGAAATACCATAAATATAATAACACAGAAGTAGGAGTGGTAAAAATGTTTACAAAAATATCCGTCTAGATAAACTTTTTAAGAAATAAGAGTAGTAAACATAGCAGCTTCAGTTACAGTCGGTCGCATCTTTTCAATCACTCCTTTCTTATGCTCTGAGCATACTGCATAGTTAGTTTTGTTGTTTTTTTTAAACAAAAAGGACGTATTTGATATATTTATTCCTAATAATATTTTTGTCTACCCTAGAATAATACGATGTCTGAGAAATGTCCCCTTATGGAGGCAGGGCTCCAATTATTTACGTGTCGAATGAAGCTCCGTGTTACTTCTATTAATAGTCTTTCCCTCGAAGTCAAAAAAAAAATTAATGGTGGTCTGTTTCCTTTCCGTATTCTGGGGTTGTCTCCCTTATTGCGGGTTTCTTTATGACTGGGACTACTCGGTGTCTTATCCGCGAGTTTTTCTTTTGGTTTTGTGTTTGGTGTGTCGCTTATCTGGTGATGGGGATGAATTTATGAAAAAAGAAAGGACCGCACTATTAATTACCTTAGCCCTAACATTTAAATCTAAACGTTCGTTCTCCAAGACGATCAGTCCTAGAGTCAAACCAACAGCACCTCGTAAGCCACCCCATGTTAAAACAACACCTTCTTGCCAAGTCATTCCATATCCTATTCTTGTTAATATAGGACTGAATACCAGATTCACGGCAGCTCTAATAAAAATAAATAAATAAAATATTTAATTTCAGGTTTTATGTCCATTGTACATGTATTCCTTCAAGATGGAAACGGTTATTAATATACAATTCAACCAAATTCCTAGATATTATATATTCTTTCTAAAGTAATACTAACTTCCTAGATATATTTGTTTTTTCTAAAGTAACTAAATTCCGAGATACATTTGTTCTTTCTAATGTAACACCAAATTCCTATAGATATATTTATTCTTTCTAATGTAACACCAGGTTCTTAGATATATTTGTCCTTTTTAATTTTTTTTTTTTTTTTTTTGTTTCTTTTTTAATTTTGAAAAATTTATGTCGTGTATGTAAATTGTACTTCAAACCTTATAATGTTTAATCCAAAGTACAAGGACATCATATAAAACCAGTCTGTTCCGTGTACGAGAGATATGGCTTTCTTTGAAATCACCACTCCCACGTGTATGAAGATTAAAGTATTAGCCAAGTAAGCTAGAGCACCCCAAAATCTGAAAACAAAGACATTAATACAAAGTATGCACACTTTAACACAACATATTATTTTCAGTGCAGCATGTTTTAATTTGGGAGCCGCGGTGGCAAAGTGAGTTCGTTCTACTCTGGCGGACTAACCAAGTGGTCTTGGATTAACTCCCTGTGTTAGCGAGAAAGTTCCTCGGGATTTCCGGAGTAGTTTCCGTTTGTCAGTGGTGGAGGACGGAAAACGAGGTCCCGTGTACACATCGACGTGCACGAAAAAGAACTTCCGACATAATGCCTGTCTTCATTAAAGGACAATATTGGTGACAGTCATCACATATGTGATAGAACTGGTTAAACACGTTCCAAATATTATTTTATCACAGAGATCATTGCTCTATCATCTATGTAGCAATGATCTCTGTGATAAAATAATATTTGGAACGTGTTTAACCAGTTCTATCACATATGTGATAATGACTGGCACCAATATTGTCCTTTAACCCAGTCGATGTATAACAGTAGGATGTTAAACCCCATTTCATTTCTAGGGTTGGTGTATTGCATTAAAAGATAGGGGATCACGGTGGGTAAGACGCTGGCTCGCTAGCCTGGAGGTCGGGTGTTCGATCCCTGCATTGGCCGAGAAAGTTCATCCAGATTTTCCGGCGTGGTTCTCCCTTGTCAAGGACAGCTGTCTAGTCGTTCGGATGGGACGAAAAACCGAGGTTCCGTGTACACATTGGCGTGCAAGTAAAAGATCCCTTGACAGTCGGAATTCAATATAAGATTAGGCCGTAGTGCCGCTGGACGTTAAACCCCATTTCATTTCTAGGGTTGGTGTATTTCATTAAAACATTTTGATGGAAATGGATGTTACCATTATATTTCAATAATTATACCTGTGTAAGAAAGCTTCAACCTCTGGACTGATACTGGTTTTCATACTACCCAAAGCAACACCTAAAACGACTACTGCTAACACTCCAGATACTCCTAAGAACCTTTCTCCTGGAATATTAACAAAACAATACCAAAAGATACTTGATACTTAAATCGTTTAATCGGCATTTAGTAACTGAGTGAGAATAACACATGACATAACGTCGCCAGAAATAAAGTTTTTAACTTACTATTCCATAAAATTGTGCCACACACATACGGTTTCTGGCGGCGTATCGGTCGGTGGATGTATGGGTCGATTCGATTATGTACGAGTCACAGATCGTAATGTACAATGGCGGCTTCGATTAAAACAGCCATCACGATCCCCAGGCCAGTGCCCCCCTAACCCCCTTATCTATGGTCTCTTGACAATATTACTTATATGAAATGTTACAAGAACAAATACATTTTAGGCATTATGAAACATCCATTAGTTTGTCTTCACATTTAGTTAACATGAATGAACGAAATTTTACATCTCCTGGAAGTTACGATTCAAAAGTGGTTTTACCTATATAAAATGTAGCATACGTAGAAGCTAATGTTATAGTTATTTCCACCATGACATCATTAAATACATAAGATAGACACAGAACAGTAATTAATGCCATTAATAAGCCAAACGCTGGTCCACCAATAGCCACTCGTAGAAAATACAATACGATATCTCCTCCTGTAACCAAAAGAAGCATTATGTCGTCCGTAAAATATGTTAACGAAAACTGATACATGTTATTACTGGTAAAATTAACATCTCTTGCTTAGAATGTTGATCAGTTGTTGCTATGAATTATCCGCTAACAGGAAAAGTTGTAGAAGAATAGTAATCATTACACGGAACGTCCATTGTAATACCAGTTCTATACGTTGACGATAATGTGTAAAAGTAGTATATTTGGATAGTAGTCAATGCATAGAAATCCTGTTTTAGATACGTGGTGTTTGCCGAGATTTACCGATGAACCAGTGGTTCAAGGTTAATAAAGATTTGATTTGAAAAAAGAAAAATCCATGATATACCTGTTAGAGCTTCGGTTGTGGTTGATAAAATAAGGAATATATTAAAGAAAACAATGGCTGTTCCATCATTCAACAATGATTCCCCTTCGATTATTATTGCTAACTTTTTCGAAGCCCCTAAAAGAAATGTAAAATTCTGGTTATTATGAAGTTATTTACATATCTATAAGTTCGATTACTGTTTGGTGTCCAGCTAACAAATAAGCTTTCTCTTAAATATATAAATGTAACGATAAATATCCACTTTCAGGCGCAATGTTATTTGATTTGAACAAGAATATGACACAATTTCATTCGGCATCCAGTTTCAGGGGCTGTTTGCTTTGAACATCCCGCATGATGTGGCATATGACACAATTATATGAAATACAGATTACATGTCTCTGCAACTGCTGGGTATAAAAATAGTATTGAGTCAACATACCGACTTCTCTTAATATAGCTACAACAGCGACTGGGTCTGTCGCACTTATTAAAGCACCAAACATCATTCCGACATTCCAATTCCAGTTATAATCAAATAAATATTGAGCCATAACACAAATTAATACAGAGGATAATGCTGAAATGGAAAGTTAGGATCCTGAAAGCATCACGACAGAACAAATAAAAACCTTATAGAAACAAAATGATGATCTTTGCGAAAGAGGGTTCATGATTCTCTGATCATAATTATTTCTTAAAATCTTAGATTAGTATGTAAATACACAACTTTTATAAATTCAGTTATACACTGATGAAATAAAAAGGGATATAACACACAACCCTGGTGCAAATGACGGAATTTCAATCTACAGGGACCTTTAGCTACAATTTATTTGAGATTTTATTGACATTATTAAATTCATTTCTACAATAATGATGAAATAGGGATATAACACACAACCCTGGTGCGAAGAATCTAATCGTAATCTCCAAAGACATTTAGCTTACAATTTATTGGCATCATTAAGACAACTAACTATTACCTAAACCTGGGACGGCCAAGATTAAAACCTGAGCAGATGTTTTCTTGAATGTATGAAAATCCAAGGCAAACGCTGATTCAAAAATCAAAACAGGCAAGAAGATGTGCATTATCAAATGAGGATTGGTATCTTCAAGGGTGTAGGTGTCTAAAGCAGGAACAAGATTAGCTATAGCTCCAAATATAATACCCAGCAGCAGTAGCATCACAGTATAAGCCAATCGGAAAGGAATAAATTTCATCACTTGTCGCATTAAAGCTGTAACAAAAAATTCAGGACTATAAATGCAACGTCAATCATTCCAAAATATGTGTTTTAAAGTTATAATTTCATATTTTCTACGAAAGTCAAAATATACTTATTTTTATGTCTTTTGCTCAATAGGTTGTCAACTCACTATTATACGATCATAGGTTATCTTTCTCACACTTAAAAATGTTCACACAATTACCTCCGAAATACCTCCCTTGTTTTCTATTCCCCACCATGGAATAGCTATCTTCAAACGTTTGAATTAGAAGTTGAAAATGATATTTTTGCCAATTTCTCAACTGGCAATAGTGAATTATAGGATCAATAGGATTATTCTTTAACAAGGTAGGACTGTTTATAGATACCATCTTCTTTAGGGCTTTATTTTAATACATTTTAAAAATATAACTTAAAAATATGAAATTGTAACTTTAAGTGTTGGCCTGTCATGATACATACTTCACTCAAAATGAAAACAGAGCAATGATTTTAAAAAAAAGACGCAATAGAAATATTGCGACCGGTCTTGAATGGCGTTCCTTGATAGCGATAGAGTGTCGGTTGACCACATGAGTTATAACGTCAAAAAATAGTAAGGGCGATAATCCGGATAGAATTTCGGAGAAGACTAAAAATTAATAAATAAAGCGTAGTCGGCATTAGGTTACTCTATCGATGCAACTTACCTCCGAATCCAAAACAACAAAAAATAAAAAATACAATGTCTGAACTAGTTTCATCTTCCCCTTCATAAATGAGTTCCGTTATATTACTGTTATTCATGTTGATTTTCTTTTTCTTTTTAAAAGATCGTCTGGAAAAATAATGTTTTGCTATTAATGTCATCAGTATCAAACTGATAACTTCGAGTAATTTTAACCAGTAAATTCCGCCCCAAACTGTTGCCTTATTGGCTAATAAGTACAAAAGGAATTGTAGTTTCGATAAGTCAGGTCAAGGCGTACTACCTGCACTTTATATAACACTTGAGACAATTTCTTATTTTACGACAAGTTCCAGAATTCTAAAGACACGGTGAATAAAAGTGGGTTTAGATTTGTAAAACAAACACCAATATGTTACACTATATCCCATTTACCGTGTTTGAAAATTTCCAATTAAAATATCACCAAATTTGCTTAACAAGGCTGCTTAACTTATTTGACTCATTTCAGTCTTCAATAGTGTATTCTGTATTTTGTGTGTATATAAATATTGACAAAGTGATTAAACCAACCCATATACCAGCATGTATACCTTTATTTCAATAAATCGCTTGAAGTGAGAGAAAACAATGAAATGCAAAGAAAACCCACGAAGGTAGACAGTTGATCACACTCGTTCATACACGAGTGGAACCAAAACCACGGCATATGATTTAATGGCATCCCTTATAATTTAAAATGCATGCGTGTGTCACTAACTAGGAGATCCTTGTCAAGAAAGTTCCTATGGATTTTCCAGCGGTGCAGTACCGAGTACCTGGCAAGAAACAGCGTATAGTCGAGTGGATTGGACAAAAAACGGGACTCCTGAACTGTACATAGCATGGCGTATGCGCGTTTTATTCGCCAGGTTAGTATATAATCGCTGGACTTTTAACCCAATTTCATTTCAAAGTCTGGGCTGCCACGAACATCTGGAGCCACCGTGTCTCAGTGCCCAAAGCGCTAGATCAGTAATCAGGAGGGCCATAGTTTGATCACCGGAGAATTTTCCAGTCTGTGGTGCAGAGCAGTGGCGTTCACGTAAAACACACCTTTAGGCCGTATTCTCGGGATGAAAATCTTGTCACCTTCGCTCCCGCTAAACCGGTCTACAAATCGGACTATCAATAATCGTGCAATCAATATGTCCACAAAGTTCTCCAATAAAATCTGCCAATTTAATAGTTCAAGCTCGAAATAGGCTATAAATTGATGACTTATTTCTTTATAGTGCGGATCCATATTTGCGTAGATGTGAGTTGGATCCTGCGCATCTATTTAAAATTTGGCCAATCAGCGGTCTCGCTTGCGGGGTTGCGGTCAAAAATTCTGGGGTCAAGTGCCAGGTTAGAGCATTTGTAAACAAAGCCATGCGAACGATTTACCTTGCAAATCGCTCGCGGTTGGGACGAACAGAGATCAAATGAACCCCAAAAACGTCCCACCCGTGTTGAGAAGTGGTGTATGAGAGCCACAAAAGGTATTTTGATCACACTGACATAAAATGTGGCAGTCAGTCAGGTTTTTTCGACACTGATTAAGGATATTGGACCGGTCTATTTCACTAGAAAAATGCCTTAATATCAAGGGAGATTACAGAGAATGCAACAAGGTCACTGCTTCTATAAGTGTAATTCTAATAAAATCATTCATTTTACATAACAAAATACTTAAAACCTGTCTAGCCTGCTGTCTTGATAATGATCATGGATAGGCTAGTGTATAGCTAAGATTAAGAATGAAAAAACATATTTTGAAATAAAGGTTGAAAACTTAAAAAGTTGCAGAAATATTAAGAAGAAATGCTTAAATAATTTGAACTAGCTCAGAATTGTCAGGGAAAAGCCCATATGGACAAAAAAAAATTTTGCATTTACAATGTATAAGCTTACAATAGATATATGAATTCAAAATGGGTTTTGTCTGCAATTGCGAATGAACCAGATGCCCCCCCCCCATCAATATGGGGCTCACCTACGACATAGTTTACATGTAATCATCGATAAAAGTGCCAAACACACTTTCAATGTTGGAATCTTGCTTCTGATTAATAAATATTCTGATTTTTTTAAACAATTATAACAGATACTGTACATGTAGTCGAACAAATCCAAAACTAATTACCTTTGATTTGAAAAATATTTTTGATCACCTAAGATAAATAAAATACAATTTAATGGAGGATTTACACTAAGAATAAGACACTAACTCATTTAGTAGTTAGAATAAGGCTACCGGTATTTGTTTCACTGGACTTATCAAAACAGCAAAAGTGTTATTGGTGCTTTAAATAAAATAATAAAAATGCTGTTTTTATTTCGCACTGGACTAAATTGTCCCTCTTTTGTATGGCCCCCGCTCGAACATACTTGGATTTTTTCTTGCAAATTATACAGCTCTCTGATAAAACTGACTTCTTTAACTCTGATGAAGTAGTAACAAGTACTGCACCATGATGTGATTCCTTTGGTGATATTACTGAAGGAGCAGGGGTGAATGAGACACACTTTTAGTTTTTAAATTTGTTGAAGTACTAGGCCTAGTAGTAGGGGTTATGGACATAAAGGCCCTAAACCAAAATGACTCAAGTATTTGGTCATAACGGTCAAACATTTTGGTCAAAACTACATAACGGTCAAAACATTAGGGTCATAATGGCCAAAAAGAACATTTGAATTTTGATATATTATGTATCAAATGATATTTATTAATATAAATATTGCATAATATAAATACCAATATTTCTTAATAGATAATATTTTTATATACATTTCTTTAATACATAAATTTAAAAACACTGTAGACATTTAATACTTAATACACTGTATAACTATAACATACATAATTTACAAAGACATCTATTTAATATGGAGGGTGGGTGGCGAATGGTTTAACATGTACACATGAAATCATAAGGTCTGTCATTGCGTCAATGACTTAATTTCAATTCTCTGCTTGTACGTGACAAGGACTAGGGTCACTTGTTCAACCTTGTGAGTTTTCTCCGAGTCCCCCAGTTTCCTTCCTCTGCTACAGACCCTTACATGCAAGCAAATTATTTAAATAAAAAAGAACCATGTCGACTGGACATTAATGTTCAGCTCATGTTACTTTATCAGTGGGGTGTGAAAGACTTAATTAGGGATTATCAAAAACTTTGATTATTTAGTATAATTCCCTCTTTCCTTTGAATCACAGCATGCAATGTTCTGGGTTGACTTGGATGGTTATATTCAATTCTTTCATTCACAAATTTTTCTGGACTTATGGTCTGTAGCCTATATATGATGCACCTTTATTTATTACATTTATTTATTACTTCTACTAGTTGGAATGAAGTGGTCATATCTTGTTGAAGGTTTGGTGAAACCGTGTTTAAAATATTATGTTATGAGTGAATTGCTATTTTTGTCGAATGATTAATATACTAATAGTAAGTTGTTAAATAATGTTTGGTAAAATATATTATGACCACATCACAGTAATACTAATACTAATAGTCTGTATGTATGTCGTGACAGTTTAGTTTCGGTTGGACTGAATGTAGACGCTGCCTTATCACTGAGTCACTCTCTTTCTTTCTCGCATCATTTAACTGTTTTGTTCTTAAAACATCTATAAAACGTTGGATGAAATCCAAAACCACTGTCGATTGTATCTTCAATATAATATCCTTCGTAATAAAATATCCATTTGTATCGAAAAATGCTGCAATGGATTGGTCATTTCCATCCAATTGAAACCAGTCTATAGCTACTTCACGACATTTATCTCACCTTGTGTTTGTAAAGGGTTCTGCTCTTCCCTTATTAACACTGTCTAAGTGAACAATACAAGTTAATTGAGCCTTTGTCGCCATTTAGTGTAGCTTCTACATGTATAACTGCAATGTGTTCCCCGTGAAGCACGCCATTGTGTTTACCAACAACACACGCGAATGTAGACAATAACGTGATTGGTCGATTGTGGAAAAAACGATCACGTGACGCGGCGAACAACGCTGAATTCTGTCCAGTGACCTCGCGCACTAAATAGTCCGGATTTCAACGAAGAATATCACCGAAGAACTATGGAATTTTTGGGGGAACATTACAACAAACGTATATCTCTATATGAACAATACACTGACAAAATTTCTTCTAGACCCGATTTGTAGGAACGAAAATATTTTTGCAACGACAATTTGTGCCCATGGAATGCGGCCTACTTGGCATTTGGAATTCGATGAAGGGTAGACGGAACAAGGGCGGATCCAGAGACCGTGGATAAGGGTGTGCAAGGGCGGAGAAGTCGCACGCTGCGAGCACCGAAGGCCCAAAGCGCACAATAGGAGGAGAGGGGTCCGGGTGACCTCCCCCGGAATATTTCGAAGGCTAGAAACTCAGAAATACCATTTTCAGTGTTCAGTGTTCTGGATCCAGATAGGTGGGCGTGTGTCGGTTGCGCCCACTAGATCCGCTCATCCGGAACACGGAAATGCCGCTGTTCAATAAACATTTGTCTCGTGGTCGATGTCCGTCTTCATTATCCCAGTTTGTGCATTCACATTGACTTCTTGGCACTAAGATTACTTTCACACTGCTCAATGACGCCATTAATCTTTACTACATAGTAATTGAGGCTACGTTAAAATATTTAGTCCATAAAATGGTTCATGAGAGATATAATGTTTTTATAATGGGCGAACATTTTAAGATCGTGACTCTATATACCGGATATTTACTTCTAAAGGAAAACTTCAGGAAATTCCTTTTAAATTAGCTAAGTCTCTAACTCAAATTCATCCAGACACGAATTATTTGTCAGTTCAAATCAACATTGTTGTTTTGATCTTATCGGGAAAATATGGGCTTCTAATAATCAAAATTTAAGACAAAATAGGTAAACATTTTACCATTGGTACACGAATCGTGTACCACAATGCGTTTCAGCGCCATTTGTAACAAGGGACATGAAGAATTAGGCTATACATATTCTACAAGTCATTTCAAACGATGACGCCATATTCTTATGTGAAGAACATGCACAGTAAATACTATCGGTGTAGATTGGAATAACTAGACGCTAGAGATTGCCATTCGATTGAGACTTTAGGGTAAGGTTTTCG